GAAAAATGTGGAACAGAATGTAAATTCTTAAAAAATCCAGACTTTCTGGACTGGCTGAGACTGAAGGACTCCCCAAGACTATTGCCTGAGATACTCTTTAAACTTTGAACCAAAACTATCCTGAGGTTACCTTTTAGCTAAATAACTGAGTGGCTCATAAAATAAAGAATATAAGTTGTTGAGTATTGCGCTCCTTTAAAAAATCATCTATATGAGACCAAACGCTCAACAATTACCCAAAAGCAAAGATGAGAAGGTAAGAGCGCAGGGAAACTAGACTATCAGAAGTGGAACGACCAGAATGGAATTAATGAGAATGTTGACACATTGGGAAAACGTAACCAGTCACTGAATAATTTGTGTAGAAACCATTAAATGGGAATCAATCTGCTGTGTAAACTCTCACTGAAAACACAATAAAATATTATTTTTTAAAAAATGAATATTTTATTCTATTAAGAAGGCCGGACTTGATGGTCTGACTGAGATTGGAGAAACCCCGGAAAGCATGGTCCCTGGATTCTCCATCAGCCCAGAGTTCTGTGGCCAACTCTTCAGACAGGGATTGGACTGGACTATGGGACATAAAGTGATACTCGTGAGGAGTGTGCCTCTTAGCTCAAGTAGATACAAGAGACTAAACAGGCAGCTTCTGTCCGGAGGTGAGATGGGAAGGCACAGAGGGTTAGGAGCTGGTTGAATGGACATAGGGAATCAGGGATGGAAAGGAGGAGTGTGCTGTCACAGTACCGCGAGAGCAATTAGGGTCACATAACAATGTATGTATAAATTTTTGTATGGGAAAAAATTAAAATAAATAAAATGAACATTTTAAAAAGTTTTTGTAATCAGCACTGAGAATAATCCTCAAAATTTTCAAAAGCTCTTAGTATGTTCTAAACACAGTGCTAAACTCCTTGCTTATATTACCTTATTTCATTCTCACAAAAATCCTGAAAGGTCATTTAACAGAAGAAACTTGGATGTTAAATAGCTTGCTCAAGTAGTGACACTGATTTTGAACTACACTATCTCAGACAGTTCCTTTGAAATTAGGGCATTATTAATCATTCTAAATTCTTTATTGAACAGCAGCACTAATTTCATCTGCACGCTTATGAATTTAAACTGTTTTAACACATGAAAAATGTGGCATTATAATCCTCTAGAGCAGTGCAACACAAACTGGTCTGCAACAAGAAAAATAGAGAAACTGAGAGAAAGCCTTCAGAAATTTTTATGGCAATATGACAGAGCAATTGTATGTCTGATGAATCTAATCACACATTTAGGCTTGTATTTTGTATATCTTTTATTCTCCACTTCATTTTCCTAGTATTTCATTTTTATGGTATTTTACAAATTTGCAATGGAACAGAAATTAAACAAAAATGGGTCCTTCAACAGAGAGTTTGAGCAACACTGCTCTAGAGCTCTGGTGCAAACACAGCTTGCTCTCTGTGACCAGCTGTGATAAACGGAAGTCACACAATAATCTCAGATACCAAAACCAAACTCGTGGCCGTCAAGTCAATTCCGACTCATAGTCACCCTACAGGACAGAGTAGAACTGCTCCATAAGGTTTTCAAGGAGCAGCTGGTGGATTTGAACTGTCACCCTTTTGGTTAGCGGCCAAGCTCTTAAAAACTGTGCCAACAAGGCTCCACTCATTAACAAGTGAATCTAAAAAAAATAAAAATAAAAAAATAAGATAGTGCTAAACTAGTGTGTTCAACTTTAACAGACATTTATGTAAAATATGTAAAGCATGCTTCGGTCTCCTTTACAAGTTTAATTTTTCTCCTAAAATGCTGAAGAAGAGAGCACTGATTATCATAATTATTTATAATTACACTGAGAATACAATTTTTTTTCTTATATAAATCGTTCAGGCACAAAGGTACAGTCACCAGCATCATCAAGAAGCAAGGATGAAGGCCACAAAATCATCAAGAAAGGTGGTTTTGGGGTGAGAAGTGTTGGAGAAAGTGATAGAGAAATCAGTGTCTCATAAACTTTCTGATGGTCAGATATGGTAGGTGGACACCACTGTTAAAGCAATTTCAGCCTGCTTGGTTTTAACTCATTTTTGAACACTAATCCTGCCATAATTAATGATTTTATTTCTGCTCTGAGACATTCTGAAGAAAAAAGTAATGAATGACAAAGCAATAGCAAGATTAAGAACATAAATAAAAAGCGTATCTTTTCATGTAAACAAAAGTGAACTATAAAAAACATTAGGTTTTTTATAAAGCACAAATAAAAAAAAAAAATTAGGTTTACTTGGTCTTATTTACAAAAGCACTGATCCCTAAGAAAAGCTGCTGTTGTTAGTAGTTGTTAGTTGTCGAGTTGGCTCCGAATCATGGCGGCCCGGATGTATAAGAGAACAAAACACTGCCCAGTCCGGCGCCATCTTCATGATTGCTGGTATATTCTGAGTCCACTGTTGTGGCCACTGTGTATTTTGAGGGTCTTCCCACCTAAGGGGCTCATCTTTCAGCACTATACTGAACAATATTTTGTTGTGATCAGTAGGATTTTTGTCAGCTAATTTTCAGAAGTAGATCACCAGTCCTTTCTTCCTACTCTTAGTCTGGAAACCTGTCCACTGTGGGTGACCCTGCTGGTATTTGAAATACTGGCGGCACAGCTTTTAGCAACACAGCAATATGCAAGCCACCACAGTATGACACAAACTGACAGATGGGTAGTGGAAGAAAAGCTAGACTTCCTTAAAAAAGAAATATAGGAGTTTGGAGACTATTTCTGGAGGATAGAAATTCTGCTTCCAAATCTCCCAAGTTTATTTTTACAAATTATCATCTCAATAGTCACAATACATTGGTCTATTATAATCGGATAACTTGCCTGGAAAACAATGCTTAGCTTCTATGAGACAGAAAACACCAGCTGAATTCTAAAATGTCTTTGACTAAGTTACTAACGTTCATTTTTATTCTAACAGCTCAAAACACATTGCTCCTGTCATAATAATAAACAGACATTATGAATGCTGATGTATAGCATTTTAAGACCTACAACTGGAAAACACCATTCCACCATCAATTTAGAAAGCCATAAATGACATGGCATACTAGTTATTTTTATTCATTGCCTGATTAGTCTACTCATGTAGACGTTTCCTTTGAGTTCCTTACCAGTTAGTTTGCTGTCTTTGCTACAAAGTGCAGAGTGGCTAAGAATTAATCTGAGTCAGAGAAAACTAGATTTAAAAAACAGCTCTAATTCTAACACACTGCATGAACTTGTCCAAGTTATAAAACCTAAGCCACAGTTTCCTCATCTGTACCTTTACTAACTTTTTAAAATAAAGTTAAATATGTATATACTCAAAAAAGTTAGCTCATTAGTATCATTAGATGCTGAGAAGTACGACACAAAAAGAAACATAACAGGAGAAGGAACAATTCAAGCCTCCTTTCCATCTGGTTGTGGGCTTTACTGTCCCTCAAACTCAGAATGCCAAGTCCCACTTTCTTTCCCACCCACAGGCTATTTTCTTCACCAGCGATGCCTCCTCTTCCCTCAGGTTTCTTCAAGGCCTACCTCACACCTGGTCCGTACCTTTCCTTTCTACTTCAGGCCAAACCACTCTCCCTTTTCTTTTGCATTTTCAGGATGGCAGGGAAGCTGGGCGTATTTTACTGCTAAATCCCAGGAAATGCTCATAAAATCCTGTTACCTCTGAATCCAGTAGTCTTTTCCCCCTAAATCTTTGAGGACTGTACACTTTGTGAATTCTCCATGACAATTTAAAGAACCTATTTGCATTTTCATTGAACAAAGGTTTCATCTTCTTTTCCCGCCTTTTCCCCTCTGATTATTTGCTCAAACAATGACAAATAAGGAAACAAATTACCCAAAATGTCAAAACATATTAAAACTCATCTCTAAGCAAATAGATTTGAAAACTTAACTCTGGAATATTCATTCTAATGTTCTCCTTCTTCAAAAGGAAATTTGAGTTAACAACAACACATTTACGTTTTTTTTTTTCTTCTTACACTCACAGGTGTCCAAAAACCTAGCTTTCCCCAAAAAAAGTATGCTTGACTTTCTCAAAGAGAAGTTGCATTGATTTCAACTCATATGGATAATAACATTCTCTATCCTTCTTGATAGCAATCGGGAACCTTAATTCCTTGGAAACTCTGGGAATCAAAAGAATGTTATGGTGCCTCTCTCAGAAAAATGCACAGAGCCCTCAAATTTTTGTATACAATTTCAGGAGGAGCCCCAGGTTCAGAATACCCTAGGATCTCTGGTGGATCCACCAACCCCACGTTAAAAACTCTACTATATAAGATTTATTTCTACTATTAAACGTTATGTATCTTTTTTAAAAGACAGTCTTCTTTAATGAGACCTTCAGCTCTGAGATTAACGAGGGAAGCAGCTTGCCTTCACAACTGTCACTACTTCCTCGCAGCCAACCTGAGAGCTGACAGAGAATTGATAATTTCTTACCTCTGAGAAATTAACGGCCAAGGGAATGATTCCAGCCACGTAACATCCCACCAACATAGCAAGCGACAGCATACTAATGGAGATGAAATCATCCATTCTGCCCTCCTTTATTCACCCACCACCACCAGACTATAAATTTTCAGTGGCTTCAAAAGGTGCTTAGGTTCTTAAACACGTGTGGTGATTCCAAGAGAACAGGCGGGCTTTCCAGTTCTTTCGGCCTACCCACCAGCAGACCTGTTCACGAGGTACCTCTGGAAACAACCCCTTTTTGCTGATACTAGCACCAGAGAGAACTTTCAGCAATCTCAGGTCCCAGCCTCTGGGTCCCCAGATGCCAGACACTGGATTCCCGTGGGTTAACAGAGATGGGAAAAGTCAATGGGGAAAATAAGCGAATGAACGATTTCTTCAATCGTCGGAATGAGGGTGGCACAACGGGCCCACTCCCCCAACAGACAACGTCCCAGTTGGCAGCAGGAAGAGGAGGAAAACCCAAGCGAACCTGTTCGTTTTCCCGGCGCCCCTGTCCCCCTAGGGCAGCCCGACGGTGATCCCGCCAGGGCTGGGACCAGCCCACCAGTCCTGGCAAACTCCCCTCCGAGTCTTGTAGAGGAAAAAAAGTCCTGCAGATCTCTAACGATGGGTTCTAGGGGTTCAGCAGCGAAGTTGCTACAAAGCTGTCTCTGCCCTATACCCGCTGCTGCCCATGGTACTCCACTCCTCCGAGGATTGACCCGGAGACACCGGTACTACAGCTGCCATGGCCGCCAAGTGGCAACACTTCACAACATCCACTTCCGGACTGCCTGACCATCCCCTCCTCTAGAAAGGCATTTCCGGGTTACAACCGACCTATGGCCCGGTATACTTATATCGCCGCCATTTTTGAGTAGGGCCACTGAAAAGGACCTCTGTCACCGTCTATTCTGGTGATCAGTCTAGCCGAATGTCTAACAACGAGGGTACGAAGACAGCGTCTTGAAAAAAATGACCGTTTCTCAAGCTCCGAAACATTCCGCCATGCATCTAATCGCCCTCATCCAAGATGGCTGAAACAGAGTCAGTGTCTGGTCTAGCTGCCGGAAATGTATGCGCCTCTATGGTCCAAAAGGCTCTTTCGCGTTGCGATTTTGACGAGTTCCGGCGGCTCCTCTCGCGGGGGTTGGCTGTTGGCGGCGTTGCGGCTGAGCTCGTGTGCGGCGGTGGTATCGGTAGCGGCTGCAGCGGAAGAGTTTGGCACGATGGTGAGAAAGGCCTCTCCGGCTACCCGAGCCCCCAGTCTCCCTGGCCACTGCAGCCTCGTACATCTTCCATTCTCCCCCCGCCCTCCCCCTGCAGCGCGAGCGTGTTGCTCCCCGCCGCTGCAGCGCGTGGGTCGACTCTTCTGCTTCCCGCCACGGAGACGCCGGGCCTGGCTCTAGGTCCCGGATCCTGGGCCCGCCCAAGGGTTGCGCGCCCTACCACTGGCTCGGGCGAGGCGCGCCGTGGGTCTAAGGATGCCCTTTCTCCCCACCGGTGGTGGGTGGAGGGAGGCGTGGGGGTGGTGATCTTTCCCTCCAAACGCTATACCCTGCTGCGGGAACAATGGCCGAGGGATGGTTACCAAACCTGTACCCGAAGCTGACAGATTCATCTTCCTGCACTCAGCGTGGGGGCCTGGAGGGGTCGTGTTTGCTTTGTAGTGTGTTTTCTCCACTATTCCCCTTTGCTTTCCTGTTTTTTGCCTTTTTCCCCCAAGGTTTTTTTTTTTTTTTTAAAACCCTTTTCTAATACCTTTAGACATCCCACTTGCCGTTTCCCTCAACCCTGCCCTGTTCCAGACACCCAAACCGATTGCCATAGAGTCGTTTCTGACTCAGCGACTCTATAGGACAGAATAGAACTGCCCCACAGGGTTTCCAAGGCTGTAGGTCGTTACGGAAGCAGATTGCCACATTTTTCTCTCCTGGAGAGGCTGGTGGGTTTGAACTCTTTCGGTTAGCAGTCGAGAGCTTAACTGCTTGCGCCACCTGTTGTTACCCTTACTTATACTCTCTTGGGACTGGAGTCTGAAAAAGTAGGCTTAGCCGAGGTCCCAGGTCTTTAGAATCCGGCTGGGGTGGTAGTGGAGTGAATGAGTTGGGTTTTTTTGTTTTTTTTTTTCTTTTAATCGACAAAAGAAGGATGCCTACAGAGATTATGAAGAATGAGGATTACGTCCACACTTCAACTTTGTTTTCTGGTTGCTGGTTTTGTAACTACCGATGCAGTTATTGTTAACAATGAACTATTCCAAGTTGCACTTTTTTGAATTGAGATTTTTCAGTGTGTGACTCAACTGAGTCTCCCAAAAAGGATTAGGAATCAAAAGACTGTTTCCAGTCCCTGGTTTGCCATAACTAGCAGTGTGACTTTGGGCATGTCATTTTGCCCCTGTCAGTTTCTTTTGTTGCGAGTATGTCACCTCTTTGGTATTGTGTTAAAATTCAGCCATTAAAGTCTGAGAAAGTTATAGCAGTTAAAAGCAACGACTCATTCTTGGACAAATATCAGTGATATGTATCAGCTTTGAGTAGAATTAAAAATTAGAATATATAATTAAAGTCAATAATTATTGATTTGAACGCCTTAAGTCCTAGGAGGTGCAAACTTCAGTTTAGTTTTGTTTTTTGTTGTTTGGGGAAATACTGGATGCCAATGAACAGATTGTAGGTGTTATAATATTGCAAAAGTAGAATGACTGTTCTGAGGGTTCATGTTTATGGGACTTTTAAAAAGTAAGCAAAGCCAGATTATCAGAGTGAATCACAGCTGCTTGATAATCTCGCAGTGTAAAGGATTTTTTTTAAGGAATTATGCTTTTTCTTTTCCTTTCTTTTTCATGATTTGGGCTTTTGCAACCTTTTTTTCCTATTATACATAGAAGAAAAAAAGGTTTGTGTGTGTATACATATTTATATATGGTACTGGTCATTACCCCATGAAAGACCATAAGGAATGCATGGACCAGATCTGCCCAGAAGAAGGGGGAAAAAAAAAGGACACAACAAATACGTTTATATTTAACAAAGGGTTCTGAAAAGAACTCCAGTAAGAAGGAAGCGACCAAAACCTGTTTGGGAGGTATTATGATCTTATAAAATTGCTAAGAGGAAAGCACTGCCACTTAAAAATGATAATTTAGTCATGTTGTGTTCTTAGTTTTTAATCCATGTCTTTGGGCAGTAAGTATTGAAATAAGCTTTGCCTGGAAGCTTATTTTAGGACTAGATATAAAAAGCAGCATACTATATAGCTATTTCCATATGTTACTCTTTCAAATAAATTAGTCCTTTAACATATTAGCATAAGAAGTAAATTAATATTATAGCAATGGGTATAGCTAGTGTATGGAGCCCTGGTGTCTCAGTGGTTAAGAGCTCGGCTGCTAACCAAAAGTTCGGCTGTTCGAATCCACCAGGTGCTCCTTGGAAACTATGGGGCAGTTCTATTCCGTCCTATAGGGTTACTATGAATCGGAATTGACTCCATGGCAACGGGGTTTTTATAACTAGCATACAGGACAAACCTTATTGCAGGAATGCTAATATTTCTATAAAATTTTTTTTTTCTCCACCAATGACCCATTGAAGCTGCTTTTTGGGGGTTTGATGGCTGACAAAAAAGTCTGCATAACAAATAGTCTAGTATAATGCTTTAGCTGGCTTTAACTCTAATCACTATTTAACAAAGGTCTTGTATACAGGTTTGCTTAGGTGAGAAGAGGTCAATTACTCTTCGTCTCTTGTCACCAAGTTCTAATTTGATCTCAAATCCTCTCAAACTTTGTATCAGAATAACTTAGTTCTGGATGGTGAGGGGGATGTATAATAACCCTTTCCTACATGTACTATGTTTGAAGTACTATTTTGTAGTTGCTTATTTAGAAAGTCTGGGCATCAGGTATTTTAGCTCCAATTTGTTTATCAGTAAAAACTCTGATCATTTGTTTTGTCCAAAAATACTAGTACAGCAAAAGAAAATGTTTGGTTTGATTTGGAATTGGTTTTACAGTGGATTTGCACCATACTTGGGTTTAATTAGTCAGCCTTACACGCTTGGCAAAGATCAGGTGGGGGAATAATTTCACTAGACTGGTGATTCTCAGCTGGGGGCAGTTTTGCTCCCCCAGGGGACATTTGACAATATCTAGAGATATTTTTGGTTGTCACAACTTGTGTGGTGATGCTACTGGCATCTAGTGGTTAGAGGCCAGGGATGCTGCTAAAGATCATACAATGCACAGGACAGTCCCCAACAGCAAAGAATTATTCAGCCAAAAATGTTAGTAGTACTGAGGTCGAGAAACTTTGAGATAGACCCACTAACAAATGCCACCCTCCTCCCTCCCCCTGACCTGTGAACATAAGATGGAAGAGTGAGTTGGAAAGAAAAGATGAAAAAACAGTACAAGGTAGCTTATGTTGAATACTTACAAGCAGATACTGCAATAGGATTTTGAGAAAGAAGCAGTCATTAAGGAATGGGGGGCTGAGGAAGACCTTAGAGAGGAGTTGGGGATTCACCTTCTGATGCCATACATGGGCAAAGGCATAAATATTGTAGGAAGAGCACCCTAACATAGTTTTGTTTAGATAACCAACAATCATTAGGGTCATGAATGAAGATTTTATACTATTAAATTCACAAATGTGAGTTAAAACATTGAAATCCCTTTTTTCCCCGTACAGTCTCACACCATTTTGCTGGTACAGCCTACCAAGAGGCCAGAAGGCAGAACTTATGCTGACTATGAATCTGTGAATGAATGCATGGAAGGTAAGTTTAATACTAATTGAGGAGTAGATATCTGAGTTCTTTTCCTGACTTTCAGTACTAGAATATGTCTCATTCGGGAACTGGGTTTCTTTTTCTTCCAAATTTTATAAATTGTTCATTTGAGCAGGGGAAGTAGACATTTGGGCCTGTATTTACTTAATATTTGAAATATTAATTATACGTACTGTCTTTTCCTGCAAATATTACTTTTTTTCATCAAGTTCATATATATGTAATCAATGATTTACCAAAGCCTCACATGATTTTATGTGTTCTGTAAATGTTTTACAGGCATCCTTTATATATCCTAGTTAAACTCAAGCACTGATGAGTCAGTAAGGCAGGCTCTATGGAATGCCTTCTGAACCTAATAGTCTGCTTATTAAACAAATGTTATAAGCTGTTGAGGTTTGGTTACAGCCTGTCAGAATGTCGTTAGAAAATAAAAATTAGCTCGGAGAATAAAGGCAAATGAAACCAAATTGGTGTAATTTTTTTATGCATCCGATAAACTAATACTACCCTGAAGGAACTAATTTGCCCCTAATTTTTTTCTTTTTTCTCAGTAAACCATTAGACAAGAACTCATAGATGGGATCTTCACAAATTGGGTTCATCTTTATGTTTAACCATATTAAGTAAATCAGTTGTGTACCCCATACACCCTTCTAGTAAATTGTCCATTGTTTCTCCCTATAAAAATTTTATGACACTTTGTTCTTACTACGGGGCATGTTGCTGAATCTGTTGACTATTGAAAAATAACTGAGTTAGACTTTTAAAGTCTATTTAAAACTAACAGTGAGTAGACCTGTGGAAAAAAACTTAGTAGTAGATAGCTTCAAGAGAGCTGGCCCTTTTCTTTCTGGATGCCAATGGATTTGCTCTAATTTTTAACTCTTCGGGATATATGATCACCCTCCCACATTTTCCACCTCCCGGGTTTCTTGAGACACTACTTTTCCCACTGAAAGTATTTGCTGCCCCCCAATGGGGATTTGTGTAATGGTGAAAAACGAAAGAAACATTCATTGGTGCAAAATAGCTGGGGTAGAGGGCTTAAATATGAGGTAGTGTGACTGGGTAAAATTTTTGTCTCGCCCTGCAAACACCTTTTTAACTCAGTCCTGAAGTCACTCCTGAGGTTCACCCTTCAGCCAAAGATTAGACAGACCCGTGAAACAAATAATACATGTAGCTCAACCGTGTGTGGGAGACTAAATGGGCACACCAGCCCAGGGGCAAGGCAGGAGGGGACAGGAAAGCTGGACGAATGGAAAAGGGGAACCCAAGGTCAAGAAAGGGAGAGTGTTGACATGTTGCAGGGTTGGCAACCAATGTCACAAAGCAATGTGGGTATTAATTGCATAAGGAGAAACTAATTTGCTGTGTAAACCTTCATCTAAAGCACAATAAAAATAATGAAAGTTCCCTATATTCAAAGTGTCTCTTCTGGCTTTGGTACAGGTAGATAAGCCTTCTAAGCGTATTTATGGTTTCCTGTGTGATAGTTAGGGAGCCCTGGTGGGTTTGTTTTGTGTGTGTGTCACATTTGGAAAACCAAAGGTGCCCAGTGTAACCAAATGGAAGGCGCCCACAATAAATCGTGCCACCCACGTCCAGTGGGACAGACAGGCACCCACAAATCATGGCGCCAGAGTACCCCCACAGTTTCATGATCACATATGTGCCCACATCATATTTCTCAAAATCCACTGTTACCAACCAAAAATTTAAACACACTGAATTAGTAAGCATGCCTTCCGATACTAAAAACACATGCCATCAAAAAGAAATATTCTGACTCCAAAGAGTGAAGATCAAGGCTGTTGTTCGTTTTTCAGGTCCATTCCTTTGCTGACACCTTTACTTGCCATTAAAGCTGACTTTGTGCACACACTGCTAGCAGGTTGTTACCTTGTCTATATCATCATGTTTGCTCTTTGATTCTGCAGTACTCTTTACTAACCTTTGTTGATTTTAGTGGCACCTAACTTTTATCTGCATCGTAAACAAAACATATCAAGCATTGACAGCACTCACCTTTGCATTGAGATATTCTCCAAAAGAAAGGATACTGAGTAGGTCTGTCAGTACTTTTTTTCTTTAACACCTTTATTGAGATATAATTCATATACATAAAGTTTACCGTCTTAACTTAAAAAATTCAGTGATTTTTAGTATATTCTCACAGTTGTGCAGCCATCACCACCATAATTCCAGAACATTTTTCCCCCAAAAAAGAAACACCATACCCATTGATGGTCACTTCCCAGTCCCCTTCCTCCCAGCCCCTGGCAACCACTAATCTGCTTTCTGTCTCTATGGTTTGCCTATTCTGTACATTTTTTTTTATTCTGTATATTGTATGTAAATACAATCTTACAATATGTGGCCTTTGTGTCTGGCTTCTTTCATTTAGTATGTTTCTGAGGTTTATCCATGTTGTATCATCTATCAGAACTTCATTCTTTTTTATAGATGAATATTCCATTATGTGGACATATCACATTTTGTTTATTCATTCATCAGCTGATGGACGGCAGTTTCCACTTTTTTACTATTATGAATAATGCTGCTGTGAACTTTTCGTGTATAAGTTCTTCTGTGGACCTGTATTTTCAATTCTCTTAGGTATATATACACACACATCTAGGAATGGGAGCCCTGGTGCTGGTTAAGCACTGATTAAGAGCTTGGCTGCTAACCAAAAGGTTGGCATTCAAATTCACCATCTGCTCCTTGTAAACCCTGTGGGACAGTTTGTCCTGTCGGGTTGGTATGAGTCAGAATCAACTCAATGGCAGTGGGTTTTTTAGCTAGGAATGGTAATTCAGTGTTTAACTTTTTGAGTAACTGCCAAACTGTTTTCCACAGTGGTCATACCATTTTACATTCCCACCAGCAATTTATGAGGTTTCTAATTCCTCCACATCTTTGCCAACATTTGTTACTGTGAGTGTTTTTAGTTTAGCCATCCTAGTGGGTGTGAAGTAGTATCTCGGTGTGTTTTTGATTTGTATTTCCCTAAGATTAATCATTGAACATCTTTTCATGTGCTTATTGGCCATATGCATATCTTTGGAGAAATGTCTGTTCAAATTCTTTTACCTGTTTTTAAATTGTGTTGTCTTATAATTGTTTAGTTGTGAAAGTTTTTTATATATTCTGGATACAAGTCTCTTATAATTTACAAATACTTTCTCCCATTCTGTGGGTTGTCTGTTCACTTTCTTGATAATATCCTTTGAAGTACAGAGTTTCTTAAATTTTAATGAAGTCCAGCTTGTCTGTTTGTTTCTTTTATTGCCGATGCTTTTGGTGCCATTATCTAAGAAACCACTGCCTAATCCAAGGTCACAAAGTTTACGCCTATGTTTTTTTCTAAGAGTTTTATAGTTTGAGCTCTTAAATTTTGGTCTTTGATCCACTTTGAGTTAACTTTTGTGTATGGTGTGAGGTAGGGATCCAACTTTATTCTATTACACATCACTGTCCAGTTGTCCTGGTACCATTTGTTGAAAAGACTGTTCTTTCCTTCATTGAATTGCCTTGGCATCCTTATTGAAAACCAGTTGACTATATATGTAAGGATTTATTTCTGGACTCTCAGTTCTATTCTATTGAACTCTTCCATTGCCTATCCTGTGGCAGTATCACATGGTCTTGATTACTGTAGCTTTGTAGTAAAATTTTAAAACAGGAAGTGAGTCCTCCAACTTTGTTCTTCCTTTTCAAGATTGTTTTTATTCTTGGTCCCATATATTTTCATATCAATTATCACATCAGCTTGTCAGTTTCTGCAAAATCAGCTGGGATTTTGATAGGGATTGCAGTCTTCCATTTCATAAACACAAGCTCTTTTCCATTTATTTTGCTCTTTTAATTTTTCAGTGATGTAGTTTTTGGTGTAAAGTCTTAATGCTTTTGTTAAATATATTCATAAGAATTTTGTTTTTTTTCAATGCTATTGTAAATGGAATTGATTTTATCTCAAGTTGTTAATTGTTATTGTATAGAAATACAATTAATTTTGTAATTGGTCGTGTACGCTTTAACCTTGCTGGATTTTCTTTTATTATTTCTAGTAGCTTTTTTATGGATTCCTTAGAATTTTCTGTATATAAGATCGTGTCATCCACAAATAGAGATAGTTGTATTTCTTCCTTTCCAATCTGAAAGTCTTTTATTTCTTTTTCTTATCTAATTGCTGTGGCTAGAACCTGCAGTACAGTGTTGGAGGAGCAGATAATTCCTGTCTTATTCCTGATCTTAGCTGGAAACCATAAGTGATATTCTTAGGTTACAGTGTAGTGTATCAGTAGCAATCAAAAACCCTAACTAAGATAGATGTTTGACAGCTCTGTGGCTGAATATTGTCTTTTATTAGGACATTTGAGAAGTTAATTCAGAGGCACAGAGAGGGCCTTTGTGTACAGTACAGGACATGTTTTTCCAAATAACTAACATTTATGTCACTTGTTCATTCATTTGATTAGTCTTAAAAGTAGAAGTTGATAGTAGGAATGAGAGAAGAATGTTTCACTGGGGGAAAAAATGAATAAATAATGTGCTCTTTAAATAATTAGGTTAATAATACGGGCTTGCTATCAGTGATTTTACTCATTCTTTTACCTTTTTTGCAACTTATATTTGAGTACTTCTATGTTTATTACATTATGTTAATTCTTTATATACATTTTCTCACGAAATCCTCACAACAACTGAAGAAGTGCCATTGTAATCCCTATTTGATAGGTAAGGCTCACAGGATTGAGTCATTTGCCCAAGGCTTCGTAGTAAAGGGCAGATCTGGAATTCAGGATATCTGAAACCAGAGCTCAGGATCTTAAATACCCTGCTAAACTTCCCTCCTTGTTCATTTTTGTTGTGTGTTGTTTTTTTTTTGGCATTGCATCAGAATTTGAAAGCAAAATAGGAAAGCATTCATTTGTCATCCATCATTCCCAATTGTGGTATTTTTCTTTACTTACTTTGAGGCTTTAGTAATATTTATGAGACACCTGATGGTAGGGCCCACAATGTCATCACTTATTTGAACCATCAGATTACAATTCCTTAAAGTCCCTTTAGGCACAAAATTGTTAACAGTTTGGTGAGTTTGTAAAATTTAAAAATTTGCTAGTTGTAATAATTAAAACAAAAGCTGTCAACCTAACATCCCTTTCCCAAGCCAACTTTATTAAAATAAATCTTCTGATACTAATATATGACACTGCTCATACATAAAAGTTTACACAATTGTAAGATCTTGGATTCTTCTCTCTCCTTAGGCGTTTGTAAAATGTATGAAGAACATCTGAAGAGAATGAATCCCAACAGTCCCTCTATTACATATGATATCAGTCAGTTGTTTGATTTTATTGATGATCTGGCAGACCTCAGCTGTCTTGTGTAAGTATTATCCACCATTTCTTGTAACTTGTATTTTTCTGTCGTTTGTTAGAGGTGATTTATAGTATTGGGAGCTCACTGTGTACCTGGCACTGATCTTTGCATTTGAGTATTATGTAGTAATCATCTGTATATATGTTATAAATCAAGATGGCAATATATTCATAAAACTAAAGGTATAGGAAAATCTTAACTTGGCTATTTGATGCAGTTAGTATGCAGAGAGAATGCTAATAAAGAAGTTCAAATTTCTTAATTTTTTTTTTCTTAGTCTTTGTCCAAAAGCAGTCAGCTTTGCACAAAAACTAAGATTGTTCTCTTTCCACGACATTATTTTCAAAACTTAAATATATGTAGAACTGAAGTGGAATTTTATTTTAACCTTACACTGTATTAAAATTATAAATTTGGTATGTTAGAATGAGACGTTTTAGACCCTTGTGTTTCCTATTTGCAGAGATTTGTCAAATTAAAAAAAAAAATTTCTAACATTATGTTATGATAATTTGTATTGATAATCTACTTATCACCACTACTGTCAGAGAGCATAGAGTGATACAGACTTAATTACTGTCTCAACATTTTTGGATGAGAGACTAAGTGGAAGTAGAACTAATGTTACAGAGGAAAATGGAAATGCCTTATAATGGGGTGATCTTCAATCAGCTGGTGTTTGAGTACAGTATTTTATGCAACTAACACACGCCTCCTATGTTCGGCAACTGATCATATCCCCCCCCACCCTAGCTGGAAAATGCGGTGCTTATTACTACATGCCAGGGACTGTGCTAGA